AAATATTAGTATTAGAATAAGAATAAAAATAATAAAGATAATATGATAACTACGATGATAAATGATAATGACAATAATAATTCTGACACTAATAACAATTATGATGTCGATACCGACGCTTCTATTACTGCTCCTCCTCCTCCTCCTCCTCCTCCTCCTCCTCCTTCTAGTCCTCCTCCTCCTCTTTCTCCTTCCCCTCTTACTATTACTACTACTACTACTACAATAATAACAATACAACAATAACAACTACTGCTACTACTACTACTACTACTACTACTACTACTACTACTACTACTACTACTACTAAGATGGTTATTGTAATAATGATGATAATACTAGTATAACAAAAACAACAACACCACAACCACCACCAACAATAAAAATAATAAAAATAATAATAAAAATAATAATAGTAATAATAATAATGGTAACAATAACAACAATAATGATAATAATGCGATTTATTTTATTTCTCTTGCCTAATTCGATTACAGTTCTCCTACTCCTACTCCTCCTCCTCCTCTTTTTACTTCTACTATTACTACTACTACTACTACTACTACTACTACTACTACTACTACTACTACTACTACTACTACTACTACTACTACTACTACTACTACCTCTACTACTACTACTACCTCTACTACTACTACTACTACTACTACTACTACTACTACTACTACTACTACTACTACTACTACTACTACTACTTATATTATATATAACTATTGATACCAATAACAATGATATAGATTACAATAACTTAGATATCAAGCCAATATGCAATGCATTTAGTGAAAGATCCAAACTTCTAGCTTTCCTATCCAGGGCGGGCATATTGATTATTTTCAAATCAGCTCATTTAAATCTTTTAAAATGTCCTTTAGGCTATTCTCTTAGTTCATGTTGTCTCTGTAAGAACAGTGAGAAAGCAGCTAAACCTGTCAGTCATGAATGTTAGAACTTACTCCTCAGCTGCTGATTCGAGCAGATAGTCAGACATAGGAAAGCGTGTCCCGGTTCGAGGGCCCGAGAGTCCTCCTGATTAGGCAATTCCGAATATCTCACAGGCCAAAACAGGAGAAAATTGGGTGAAATCGGTTTAAAGTTTAATCCCGCAAACGTGAAACAAAACTGAAACTATAGCATAATACGTCATTTGAGAGTGTTTCTTGAGATAAAACTTTAATATTACTTTAATCTCTAATGTTTACTTCTAGCTGGGTTGGTAACTGTCGATTTGTATATTCAAGACGAAAAGTTTAATCTTTATCCATTATCAACTCACAACAAGCCACATCATCAATAATTACTTGGTCGACTCATGGGCCAAACCGAGGCTGCTTGCTGCCCTATATAACATGCGTGCCTTAGTTTGCCCTTGCCTGAGACAGGTGCAACTTGATGGTGGCGCCTCGCAGTTAAAGATAAATCCTAGTAAAATTGTTGAGGAAAAAAAACATTCAATACTCTTCTTTTAGGTCTGGAGTGGAATGTGACGAGAAAGACAGAAGCTATTTAGTTTAGAAAACTTGATGCTGTTGTGTGTGTTTGTGTGTGTGTGTGTGTGTGTGTGTGTGTGTGTGTGTGTGTGTGTGTGTGTGTGTGTGTGCTTAGACAACGATTGTATGTCTTTCCACGACAGATCTGATGTCCTTTTTCTTTTGTCTGTCGCGGACTTTGTCGTAAGACACCTGCGTGCACAGTAATAGAATCACAAAATATAACCTAACAGGACTAATTAATTTTGCTCGTGAGTCCCAAGGGCTGAATCATCAGGTTCCTCCCATAGAATTACAATATTCTTTCTAAAATGTTTTTTTTT